TTTTTAAGTGGTTGTGACATGTAAAAGATTATTGTAATATTATCTTTGACTCGTCTTTCATGTGATTAAGAAAAAACCTAAGGCGCCTCCTATTCATTCTGACAGCAGCTTTCTGAACTGTGGTCCAATGCAAGATGGCCGCCCACTAGGCACATTGGCCTCGCTGCCGACAGCGTCCAATGAGGCATCTACGTATATAATGTCTATGTGTGGAGCTACATTGGAGCCATAAAGTTTTTTCAGAAACAATTTTTTACTCTAAAAAAAAAAATTTTGAAACTGAATTCTGAACTGCATGCTGGGAGATGTAGTTCCAAACTGTTTGTATAGTTAAATTGACACAAGGATGATTTAAGTGTAGTGTCTTTCCTTAACCTTCAACAGAAAGTCTTCCATCAATCCATCTTTTACTTACCGGTATACATCAGAGTCACAGTGGGGCTGGTTCCTATCTATTCCTATCTACAGCAACCTGTGGGAGAAAGGCAGGGTACATCGTGGACAGGTCATTAAAAAAATATCCTGTTCATGCAAATTACTAAAACCTTGGTCAAAATGCTGGAAGATGCAGTTCGGAACCTTTTATATGTCATTAGATCGACACAAGGATGGTTAAAGTGAAGTGTCCTTTCTTTAACCTACAATTGAATATATTTCTGTCATCTTTCCAGACCGCCTACAGGATTATGTTGGAAAAGAGGAGGATTTCTCTGACCAGCAGCTCTATGGACAGGAGAGGAATTTCAGTTTGGACCAAGAGGAACCAGAAGCTCTGCAGATAAAAGAAGAGCAGCAAGAACCAGAACATCCCTGGACAAAAGAGGAAACCATGGAGGTCCTCATTAGTGAGCAGGAAGAGCAGCTTGTTCTGAAGCAAGAAACTGAAGTTACAGGAGAGGAATTATTCCAATGTTTGCCATGTGGAGAAAACTTTATGAAACAAGAACTTTTAATAGATCACATGATAACTCACACAGATCAGACGAATATTGAATGTTTGTCCTGTGGAAAAAAATTCACCTATAAATCTGACCTTGATAAACACATGAGAATACACACAGATTTGAGGCCTTTCAAATGTCCGTCCTGTGGAAAGGGTTTCAGAACGAAATCTCATCTTAACAACCACATCAAAATCCACACAGGTGAGAAACCTTTCTCCTGTACAATATGTGGCAAACGTTTTACTGAAAAAAGTAGTTTGACTAAACATGTGAAGATTAATTCGGGTGAAAGACCTTTTTCTTGCAAGACCTGTGAAAAAAGTTTCATCTATGAATCTGACCTTAATAAACACATCAGAACTCACACAGGTGAGAGGCCTTTCTCCTGTACAACTTGTGGGAAATGTTTTATTGAAAAAAGTAATTTGACTGAACACCTGAAGACTCATTCAGGTGAAAGACCTTTTTCTTGCGAGACCTGTGAAAAACGTTTCATATCCAGATCTCACCTTAATTACCACATCAGAATTCACACAGGTGAGAGGCCTTTCTCCTGTACAACTTGTGGGAAATGTTTTATTGAAAAAAGTAATTTGACTGAACACCTGAAGACTCATTCAGGTGAAAGACCTTTTT